AAATAATCTATTAATGCTGCTAGCAAACTGTCACTACTACTTGCTCAGTAGACTTGAGTACTTAAAAACAATAGGAGTCAATTAGTCTTATTTTCTAAATATATTTGAAGCAGTGATCCTTACTAAAGTATCTTCTATAAAACTCCTACTTCAAGCTATCGTGCCATTTTGGTTTTGCTCCCTTTTAAAGCTTTTATCTTTCAAGGTTCTTCATAGTCTGAGCCATTACTAACAAAGATTATTCACCACTCTAACCTACCAAACCCAGTATCAAGATTTGTCAATCTAATCCCTGGATTGGGGCCTTTAGTTGGAAGATTCCCTACCTTTGAACTTCTTTTGTGCTTAAACAGTTATTTCAGCAATAAATTATTTATTACTTGCTTTATTTACCTTTCTAGTTGTGTGTTTAGTTACTAAAGAAATATGCCATGGCCTAACTTTTTTTTTTCAATCATCTACATCATAAGTATCTTGGTTACTGATTACTTGGAAATGAGAGAGAAAATCCTCATTTTGCTATCACAAACTCAGTGAAAAATGTGTTTCTTGTTTAGAATACACAGGAGGTCCCATTCTTGCACTCAGGGATATTGTAAAGTGCCTCTAACTACATCTCTGTAGTATTACTTTTGTTCTTGTTTTCTAATTTAATTATTCAGTTCGCTGATTCATATGATCTAGTCATGTCTTTTAGAAAGATTGTGGTGTATTCTTTGCTTTACCCTTTACAGAGGGCCAAATGGATACAGATGTGTCATTTAATCTCATCCATTCCTTCTTTTGTCTGTGCTGTCAAAAACATTTGGTAGAAGAAACTTCCTTCTACAATGAACTCCCTAGGAGACAATGAGCTGCCAATTAAAAATGGAGAACAAAAAGAATAGAGCATTACCCAGGAAATTTCCTTTTGAATTCTCAAACAGAATATCAAGCTCTGCTAATTGTCCATTTAAAAGTCTTTTGAGAATATCTAAGATATCCCAATATGCCAACACCAAATTTTTTTTTTTTTTTTTTTTTTTTTTAATATTTTTTTATTTTTAGTTGTACACGTTTATTTATTTTTATATGGTGTTGAGGTTTGAACCCAGGGCCTCGCGCATGCTAGGTGAGCGTTCTACCGCTGAGCCACAACCCCAGCCCCGCCAACACCAAATTTATAGTACCTTTTTATTAATTAAATGGGCAATTGTATCTGGGTACTATATGGTAGGGATACTTAATGAAGTTCTGCTGAAAAGCACTGGGTCTGAAATGAGGAAATAATTTTAGCAATAAACTACTAAAAGTAAAGTAAGTATAATTCATAACTTAGACCCAGTTAACTCTTCATCCATCCTTTTTATGACTAACAAGAACAGTTCTATTTAGGACTACAGTGATGGTGAGAGGGAAGATGTTTGTTATAATTACAGTTCAAATTGGGTCAAAACTGTAGTTTATTTCACTTGAGAGTAATACTGTACCAGTGCCTTTTGATTCACTGGGTCTGACTTCTTAATGTATTAACAGATGACCTTTACCTTAGAAGCTTTTCTTTTGCAAACAGTTAAATATGTATACATGTGTATTTCATATAGCTCCTAATTTTTTGGCCCAGGTAATTTAACCTGGTAACATTTATGCCATACTTCTATAAGTAGTCGTTTCATATATTTGTTTATTAAGAAGACAATGAGCCCTTAAAATTAATTTTTTTAGTAATTTTATTATTATAAAAAAATTCTTGCTAAATAAATTTGGCAATACTAAAACCTGAATTTCCAAATTTTAAATTTGTTTTCCTGTTATGGTAGAAGCCCTTTTTTTTTTTTTTTTTTTTCCTTTAATGATCTAGACCAGTATTTCTTTTTTTTTTTTTTTTTTAATTTTTTATTGTTGGCTGTTCAAAACATTACATAGTTCTTGATATATCATATTTCACAATTGGATTCAAGTGGGTTATGAGCTCCCATTTTTACCCCATATACAGATTGCAGAATCACATCAGTTACCCATCCATTGATTTACATATTGCCATACTAGTGTCTGTTGTGTTCTGCTGCCTTTCCTATCCTCTACTATACCCCCTCCCCTCCCCTCCCCTCCCCCTTCTCTCTCTGCCCCCTCTACTGTCATTCATTTGTCCCCCTTGTATTATTTTTCCCTTTCCCCTCACTTCCTCTTGTATGTACTTTTGTATAACCCTGAGGGTCTCCTTCCATTTCCATGCAATTTCCCTTCTCTCTCCCTTTCCCTCCCACCTCTCATCCCTGTTTAATGTTAATCTTCTTCTCATGCTCTTCGACCCTACTCTGTTCTTAGTTACTCTCCTTATATCAAAGAAGACATTTGGCATTTGTTTTTTAGGGATTGGCTAGCTTCACTTAGCATAATCTGCTCTAATGCCATCCATTTCCCTGCAAATTCTATGATTTTGTCATTTTTTAATGCAGAGTAATACTCCATTGTGTATAAATGCCACATTTTTTTTTATCCATTCATCTATTGAAGGGCATCTAGGTTGGTTCCACAGTCTTGCTATTGTGAATTGTGCTGCTATGAACATCGATGTAGCAGTGTCCCTGTAGCATGCTCTTTTTAGGTCTTTAGGGAATAGACCGAGAAGGGGAATAGCTGGGTCAAATGGTGGCTCCATTCCCAGCTTTCCAAGAAATCTCCATACTGCTTTCCAAATTGGCTGCACCAATTTGCAGTCCCACCAGCAATGTACAAGTGTACACTTTTCCCCACATCCTCGCCAGCACTTGTTGTTGTTTGACTTCATAATGGCTGCCAATCTTACTGGAGTGAGACGGTATCTTAGGGTGGTTTTGATTTGCATTTCTCTGACAGCTAGAGATGGTGAGCATTTTTTCATGTACTTGTTGATTGATTATATGTCCTCCTCTGAGAAGTGTCTGTTCAGGTCCTTGGCCCATTTGTTGATTGGGTTGTTTGTTATTTTATTGTCTAATTTTTTGAGTTTTTTGTATACTCTGGATATTAGGGCTCTATCTGAAGTGTGAGGAGTAAAGATTTGTTCCCAGGATGTAGGCTCCCTATTTACCTCTCTTATTGTATCTTTTGCTGAGAAAAAACTTTTTAGTTTGAGTAAGTCCCATTTGTTGATTCTAGTTATTAACTTTTGTGCTATGGGTGTCCTATTGAGGAATTTGGAGCCCGACCCCACAGTATGTAGATCGTAGCCAACTTTTTCTTCTATCAGACGGCGTGTCTCTGATTTGATATCAAGCTCCTTGATCCATTTTGAATTCACTTTTGTGCATGGCGAGAGAAAGGGATTCAGTTTCATTTTGTTGCATATGGATTTCCAGTTTTCCCAGCACCATTTGTTGAAGATGCTATCCTTCCTCCATTGCATGCTTTTAGCCCCTTTATCAAATATAAGATAGTTGTAGTTTTGTGGATTGGTTTCTGTGTCCTCTATTCTGTACCATTGGTCCACCCGCCTGTTTTGGTACCAGTACCATGCTGTTTTTGTTACTATTGCTCTGTAGTATAGTTTGAAGTCTGGTATCGCTATACCACCTGATTCACACTTCCTGCTTAGCATTGTTTTTGCTATTCTGGGTCTTTTGTTTTTCCATATGAATTTCATGATTGCTTTCTCTATTTCTACAAGAAATGCCGTTGGGATTTTGATTGGCATTGCATTAAACCTACAGAGAACTTTTGGTAATATCGCCATTTTGATGATGTTAGTTCTGCCTATGCATGAACAGGGTATATTTTTCCATCTTCTAAGATCTTCTTCTATTTCTCTCTTTAGGGTTCTGTAGTTTTCATTGTATAAGTCTTTCACCTCTTTTGTTAGGTTGATTCCCAAGTATTTTATTTTTTTTGAAGATATTGTGAATGGAGTGGTTGTCCTCATTTCCATTTCAGAGGCTTTGTCGCTGATATACAGGAATGCCTTTGATTTATGCGTGTTGATTTTATATCCTGCCACTTTGCTGAATTCATTTATTAGCTCTAATAGTTTCTTTGTAGACCCTTTTGGGTCTGCTAGGTATAGAATCATGTCATCTGCAAATAGTGATAATTTAAGTTCTTCTTTTCCTATTTTTATGCCTTTAATTTCTTTCGTCTGTCTAATTGCTCTGGCCAGTGTTTCGAGAACTATGTTGAACAGAAGTGGTGAGAGAGGGCATCCCTGTCTTGTTCCAGATTTTAGAGGGAATGCCTTCAATTTTTCTCCATTCAGAATGATGCTAGCCTGAGGCTTAGCATAGATTGCTTTTACAATATTGAGGTATGTTCCTGTTATCCCTAGTTTTTCTAGAGTTTTGAACATAAAGGGATGCTGTACTTTGTCGAATGCTTTTTCCGCATCTATCGAGATGATCATATGATTCTTATTTTTAAGTCTATTGATGTGGTGAATAACATTTATTGATTTCCATATATTGAACCAGCCTTGCATCCCAGGGATGAATCCTACTTGATCATGGTGCACAATTTTTTTGATAAGTTTTTGTATCCGAGTGGCCAGAATTTTATTGAGGATTTTTGCATCTAGGTTCATTAGAGATATTGGTCTGTAGTTTTCTTTCTTTGAAGTGTCTTTGTCTGGTTTAGGTATCAGGGTGATGTTGGCCTCGTAGAATGAATTTGGAAGTTCTCCCTCTTTTTCTATTTCCCGAAGTAGCTTGAAAAGTATTGGTATTAGTTCCTCTTTAAAGGTTTTGTAAAACTCTGCTGTATACCCATCCGGTCCTGGGCTTTTCTTAGTTGGTAGTCTTTTGATGGTTTCTTCTATTTCCTCAATTGATATTGGTCTGTTTAGGTTGTCTATATCCTCCTGACTCAATCTGGGCAGATCATATGACTTAAGAAATTTATCTATGCCTTCACTATCTTCTAATTTATTGGAGTATAAGGATTCAAAATAATTTTTGATTATCTTCTGTATTTCTGAAGTGTCTGTTGTGATATTGCCTCTTTCATCCCGTATGTTAGTAATTTGAGTTCTCTCTCTTCTTCTCTTCGCTAGCATGGCTAAGGTAGACCAGTATTTCTTAGAAAACCAAAAAGTCAGTAAACTCAGGAAATCATTTTGAAAGTTTGCCTACCTGTCTTATTCAGATATACAACATATATATGAAAAAAACATTTGCCAATCTTTTTATATTGGGCCCAAGCTTTTTTCTTAGGTTATGAGTCATTGATTGGCATTGGATTCTTGTTCTACATGAGCAACAACCATAATACAATGTCTACAATGAATATAACATTTACAAAAGTAGTCTTAATTCAGAATACATCTGAATTTTGAAGATTTTTTTGATGTTATTTAAGTTTTTGTAACTGTCTCACATACCTAATTTAAGAGGGTCTTTTTTCCCTTTTAGAAATAGCCTTAGTTTCAGATCATTTAGATATTCTAATACCTTTGCATCATCTATGTCAAAAACATCACACCAAGGAGATTTGACACCTCTAATTGCCAGGTCAAATGAACAGGTGAAAAAAGCTACCTGAATTAAATCTGCATTTAAATTGTTTACCGGCACTTGCAAAACAGCTGCAACTTTTTTTAAAATGCTCTGCATTTCTGGTCCAGTTTTGAAGGCTTCTACATGATAAAGAGCTGTAGCATTCCTTTCCACTTCAGTTAAGAACTTCTTACAATGATCAATATTGGAAAAGAGGATATGGATATACCATTAATAGTCGATCCAGCTGCACCCTCTTTCAGGATATCTTTCAGCACCTGGACAAAGCAGTTGAAGAGAAGCAAAGTACTAGACACCAAACCCAGAATCTTGAGCATACTAAGTCTCAGCCAGTTTCTTCTCCAATCGTCCTTCAGTTTGGTCATGCAGAGACCCTTCTTCCACTACTTTCTCTCATGGGCTACTTCAAAGACAAGGAGCCTCTAACAGCTTATAATTACAAGGAACAAATTCATCGAAAGTTCCGAAGTGGTCATATTGTACCTTATGCCTCCAACCTAATATTTGTGCTTTACCATTGTGAAAATGCCAAGACTCCTCAGGAAGAATTTCAAGTGCAGATATTATTGAATGAAAAGGTGTTGCCCTTGGCTCACTCACAAGAAACTGTTTCTTTGTATGAGGATCTGAAGAACCACTACAAAGACATCCTCCAGAGTTGTCAAACCAGCGAAGAATGTGAATTACCAAAGGTGAACAGCACATCTGACGAGCTATGAGTAATTGAAGAACGTTTTTAGTTCATCAGTGCTTCCCCATAGGGAGTGATTACATGTTTATAATAAGTAGACAATATCTTGATTACAGAAGCTTTCATATTACTTGGCTATTTCTGTCTTTTCACAGAAAAACTAAGTTTTTGGGGGAGGGTCTGGACCTGATACATAGATAAGAAATGATTTTCACTGGAGCAGCTCTCTTAAGGAAATAAAAAAATCTTTTCAGAGAGACAACTAACACAGAAAGTGTTTACAGAAATGAAATTTTTCCAACTTCTATGAGAAACCTCACACTGAAGTAGAGTATAATTTGAAAATGATACTTGCAAAGTCCTAGATTATCAAAACATGTCAATTGGATGATCCGTAATTTGATTTAACTGGTCTAATTGTGCTATAGATCTGTTTTTTTTCTCAGGTGGAACAGTTCTAGTATTAATTGTGTCTCTTAATCAGAAATATTGTGATTAACTAAGAGTATCACTTTAGAAGAAAGCTAACAAAGTAAGACTTTGAAACAGTGTTAAGAAACAGACTGATTTAAAAGGGCATTTTCACTGAATGAAGCAAGAAAAAAGTAAGAATTATTTTTGTTAATAGTATTTTATAAAGTATTTAAATTCTTTCAACAATTACTTTTAATAAGTCTTGCAAGGCTATTTCAATTATCATCAGACCTGTTTTAAGTATACAAAAATGGAAAGACAAAAGAGGACCATTAGCAACAAGTCAGATGGATAAATCAGAGTTTCTTAAATTCATTGTTTAGGTATCTTTTTCATTTTGTCCCTTGGCTCCCATTTTTAAATTTTATTATGTGAAGTGTATCCTTTTTTTTTCTTTTTATATTCTTAGATATACATGACAGTAGAGTATATTTTGACATATTATATATACATGGAGTGTAACTTCCCATTCTTGTGGTTAGAAATGCATCTTTTGGTTGTTTGATTTCTTTTTCATTAAAAAAAAGAATATCATCCTAGCTGACTTAGTTTCATACATCTGAACTCATTTCATAGAAATACTTCTGAGTTCTATCAAATGCCATGAAAATATTTCCTACAATAAACAAAATTCTTCTTTACCTGAAAAAAAAAAAAAAAAGAAAAGAAAGAAATAGCCTTAGTTGCCAGTAACTTCATCAAAAGAGCTCTGTCATTTTCACGTTTTATCCATTTATATAGTAACAATTATATAATTACAACAATAAGACTTTACATCATATATATAAACAATGGTTTGCTAGGGAAAAAAACCCATATTCCCTCTTGGTAAGCATACAAGAAATACATAAGTGGGAACATTAAGAAATTGCTTTCTCTTTTTCTTCATTTCTACAGAGGGAGAAAGGAAGAATCTGTCACAAGGAAATCCATTTATAGAGCTTCTGTATATTGTATTCACTACCTTTTAAAACTTACATAAATATATACATACATAGATATATAAAAAGAACAATATAAAATGCAAGAATTACAAAATAAGGCCAACTGAAAAGCTGTCCTTTTTGCCATTCTGACAGTATTTAATCAGAAATAAGAGAAAGTTTTAGCTTTTTTCCATTGGTAATTAAAAACGAACAATGAAAGAAAGTATGAGGTACAGCTAATTTGGAAAACTGTTCAGTGATACCTGAAGAACATATTTGTAAACTATGGTCCAGCAATTCCGTGCCTAGGTATGTACCTAGCAGGTATGTGTATGTAACGGGGGTGGTATATGTATATCTATACTCAATAAAATTGGACCATGTACAAAAGGTTTATAGTGGCATTTTTGGTAATGACCAAAAATTGGAAACAACCTAAATATCTGTCAGCAGTACAATGAATAAATATGCTGTGGTATACTTAAATAATGGAATACTGTATAATTGAGTTGTCAAGTCTTATTTCTCTTTTTGATAGATGAGAATGAAGAGATTACAACATGCAACAAAGTTTGCAAATCTCATAAAACCTAATGACCAAAAAAATATGTAACATATGATTGTAAAATACAGAAAAAAGTAAGCTATGGTGTTAGCAGAAGTTAGGATAGCAGTGTTAGTAGTCAGCTCTTCTGTGAAAAAGCAAGGAAATGTGATGGGAACACAAGGCAACTTTTGGAATTCTGGAAATACTCTGTGGTCTCATTGAGTGTATTCAGTTTTAATTATATACCTAAGATTTGTATACTTTTATTACACATAATATATTTTTTAAAAAAGCAAAAGATGGGGCTGGGGATGTGGCTCAAGCGGTAGCGCGCTCGTCTGGCATGCGTGCGGCCCGGGTTCGATCCTCAGCACCACATACCAACAAAGATGTTATGTCCGCCGAAAACTAAAAAATAAATATTTAAAAAATTAAAAAAAAAAAACTTTAAAAAATAAAATAAAATAAAAAAGCAAAAGCAATGTGACTTTATCTGATGAAACTAATGTGGACTATATGAACCATGTAGTAAAGACAAAGAAAAATGAGTTGAGTTCCATAAAAGGATTTGAGAAGGGCTTAATTTTATAATTTATCAAAAAAGGAAATAGGCCTTAACAACCTAAATTATACCATCTGTAGCTAATTTGGTTAGGATAACTTATTTCAGCCCAATTTATTGTATTTTGCATACTTAGTTACTTAAGTTTGCAACCACTGAGAATTATTGAATAAGCATATAAATATGAACCATAAATCATTTTATCCTAGTCCCCTAAAAATTAATCTGGATCATTCTCTTTAAACCTTCCTTGTGTTCAAGTCAGTTTTTTTTAAAAAATTAGGTTCTATTCAGGATAAAATACTGTTTTAAATTTTGGCTTATTGGAATATACTTAATTAGTTGACAATTTTATATAATATCTCAACCTAGATTTTCTATCCCTTTTTTTTCCTTCATTTGAAAATGTTGAAAAAAATCATAAAAATGTCTGGTATGTATTTCCTCAATTTATATAGTAGCCAACAAAAAAATCAAATATATATTAGAATAAGATCAAAAGAATGGATGTTTTAAACCATCTTCTCATGGGATTCACTGAATTTGGAAGGAATATTTATGCTGTTTCAATAATGGCAAAATATATGCAAACCCAGTGCTATATTATGCAAATGAAAATAGAGAAGAAAGAAATATTCAATTGCCATAATTAATAATCCCATTCATTGTGGGAAGTGAAACTCAATTGTATAAACCATTGGTAAATGTGATTCCCCTCTTCCATTAAATTGTAATTGTCTCCCTTGTGTAGTAAATGCAGATGAAAAGTGTTGATTTAGCAAAAGAAAAGTGTATGCTTCAAATATTTAATCAAGTAGATAATCATAAAAAATGTTAGTTTATATGCAACTATGATACTCTGTAATTTCTACAAGGAAGAAAAATATTTGAAATAATGTCATTTAACACAGAGTTGCATTGTCTAATAAATATATCTACATTCTTTGAAATAAAATTTAACTCTATGCATAGGATATATTCCTGAATTTTTTTGAAATTGTTTTCATCCTAAAGAGAGAGAAACTATAAAAACCAGAAGAAAATGAACCCAGGAACCCAGGGTCTTAAGCATGCTAAGCACAGAATCCACTGGTCTATGCCCCAGTCCCTGAAGTGTTCAGTTCTCAAAGACCATAATTCTGTGGGCACTTTGCCAGCCACCTACTAATTTCTATCTTTGCATGCTAATCTCTTCCAGTACCATATAATAGTGGCTGAGTAAGAAGACTTAAGTTGACATAAAAAGTCTGGGTGGGGAATAGCAGTTCTCAGAACAAAGTACCATACCTGAGATTATGGGGTCTTAATTCCCCACTGTAGGTGGGAATGCCATTGAGATGGAGATCCATGTCAGAGAGTAACCTGGTCCTTGTTACCATGGATTTGTAACTAATGAGGACAAAAAGAGTAGGAGGAACCAAGTGCCCAGTCTTCAACACACCTTTAATCTAGTAGCTATCAAGTCCAGCTACCTTTGGGAGAGAACACTGAAGAAGTGAGTCAGATTGGAAACTGTATAACATAGGAAGTATCCTCTGGTTGGAAACCCAAATGTACATGGCATAAGCAATTCCATCTGTGGAAAATGATTATGCCTCTAAATGCTCATCACCACTTCATATTAGCTTCTTTATATGTTATTTTGAAAATGAAAGTGCTGGGTAGGGGATGGGAGGTTAAGCATTCCTGGTTAATTGAAGTGACTACTAGGTGAAAATGTACCCTGATAATTTACCTAGAAGCTTCAATATTTTGCCATAAGGTAAAGAGTATAATTGAAAAACAAATTATTGTGTTGCTATCTTATATTAATTAAAAAATGTGTGTCTCTTTGTTTCATGATTTTCGTAAAACTAAATTCTTCATACCACTTTTCTAATAGCAGTGTTAATTGTCTTTTAAAATAATTACAAGTGTTTATCATAATTTGTAGTAAGAGCTTTGAATAAATTTATGGAAATTTGATTTTACTAGTAATTTATCAAGAATATTTAACATTATACTCTTATTCTTTTTTTAGGATTTGGAACTTGGAAGGAGCACAGACAGCTCATTTTGTTCTTCATTCCCCTGGAATGAGTGTGTGCTGGCATCCTGAAGAAAATTTTAAGGTTATTATTTATAACCTAGCTTTCTTTAATCAGCTGAAAAGACATATAAGATACAATACATATACCCATAGAAGAGAAAAATCAATAGCTTCCCATCTCAGAAACTCTAATTGGCATGAGTACATTTGGATTAGTCTAGATATCTGTACTTTAAAAGTTTATCTAAAATTGTTAGTTTTAATTTGACAGCCATCATCCACAAATGGCATTTATTCAGAGTACACTTTTCCTGACGTGTAGCAGATTTAGTCTAAAAACTTATACCCAGACGATCTAGTAGCATTGTGAAGTTAATAAAGGAAAAAGGACAGGCACAGTGGCACCTGCCCATAATCCCAGCATCTCCAAAGGCTGAGGCAGGATTGTGAGTTTGAGCCAGCCTCAGCAATTTTGTAAGGCCCACAGCAACTCAGAGAGGCCCTGTCTCAAAATAAACAATAAAAAGGGCTGGTTATATAACTCAGTGGTAAAGCGACCCTAGTTCAATCCCCAATACCAAAAATAAAAAGATAAAAAAGGCACATCCAAGCTTGTGAGCCATAACATATAAACAGGAAGCATCAGTGACTTCAGGCAGATTTTCCCTGGTTACAGTGATGTTCAATTTCTATTCGGAGTAGAGCTTCCTAAAAATACTAAAGATACACTAAGAGATCTGATTATCAATTGGTCTTAACTCTCATTTCATCGGGAAAACAGGAGCCATTCAGTAAGAGTTGTTATTGATGGCTCATGCCTGTAATTTCAGCAGTTCAGGAGGCTGAGGCAGGAGGATAGTGATTTGAAAGCCAGCCTCACTGAGGACCTAAGCAACTCAGTGAGACCCTGTCTCTAAATAAGATATAAATAGGGGCTAAGGGTATAGCTCAATGGTTAAGCACCCCTAGGTTCAATCCCCAGCACCAAAAAAAAGTTATGTTGTTGGCCAATATTTTCTATTTAACATCACTACATTTATTATATCTGAGTAGAATCCAAGAAGTTTCAGCTTTCTTAAAAGTAATCTTTCAGCTGTTCTCTGGGGTTCATTCCTGTCCCTTAGGCATCCTATTTTCACAGCCCTCTAATGTCTTTATACACTTTCTCCATTCTGTAATATCCTTAAGTTTGCACAAAACGATAAATTTGACTGACCATGGCAAACAAATAATGCTCAAGCGCACTGGGCCCTCAGCTAGCATTTCATTTACTTTTCATGGTACTCTTATGAGTCTCAGATGATCCCCATTTCACAGATAAGGAAACCAAGGTCCAGAGAAGTTAAATAAACTTGCCCAGAGTCTCATCACTGGTAAGTGAAAGAATTGGCATTTGAACCCAAGCAACTCAACTCAATAGTTTTTGCTGTTGATGATTGCAGTCTTCCATATTTCCTTTAAATTTTAAACTTTTACATCTTTTAAATTTTAAACTTTTACATCTTTTATTTCTAAATGTTTGAATCTATTGCCCATAACTTTTAACTTGGGTTCTGTTTTCCCGTCTCTTGGTCCAA